CTTATAAAATAGCGTTACAACAAGACTTTTTTAAAGTTCTTATTATTTGGGCAACTTTGTTAGCGTGTGTATTAAATATTTATTTTGTTCATGAGTGATAAGTCAAAAGACTTGAACTACGTAGGCGGGAATGGACACGCAAGCAAATTTTTCAATAAAAAATAAAATTCTTAGGAAGATTGCTGTTGACGTTGTTTAAACTATTTTCATCAGCTTATCATTTAGATCTTGACAAATTTCCATGTACTTCATGATGATTTGGTTGGAAACTGGTAATCGCTTGAAAACTCTGTAAAACTGAAATTACATTGATTACTATGCAGCATTTCAATATATACGATATTCAAGTTTATCGTTTGCATTTTTTCGTCTGTTTAACGTTTCAGAGGGAAAAAACTGTGAATGTTAAGTACATCATAACTGAAATAAATATTACAGAAAGATTGCCGAGAAAAATTTCGCATAACTTATCTTTGAAAAGTGAAAATATTCAAAGTTACCGGTTCATTAAATGCACCATGCTAAGCAAACACAAAACGGAAAATTGAAGAATGATGAGAATATTAAAATGACGTGTTCTCTCACACTCGAATTTGTTTGCAATATGAATACGATGTGAATAATACATATTTCGTAATCAATTATCTCAAATGATATTAAATATAGATAAGTAGATTGCAATGCAGTTTCAAAAGCTTAGCCTGTCTTTAATTTGCTGAAATTTAATCGTTATTGCTAATACCTGTATCTAACATCTTAAATTTCTTTTTTTAGAAATTATTATTTTCTTATCCAAGGAGAAACAAGTTGCTTTTCTTTCTGTCATAATGATGACATTAAAAATCATAATGATGATTAAATGTCCAATCGCTTTGATAAAAAATTTTTTTGGAAACTTATCTTATTTCTTATAAAATGAGAGCAAAAACAGGCTTTTAATAAAATGAAAGCAAAAACAAGAAAATAAAATTGTCAAAGACAAAAAGATTAAGATACACTAAATTTGATTATTTTTATGATGCTTCGTTTTTGGTCAATAAGTATTTTGTATTGTTTCAATATAAGATGTCTTCATTTTGACATGTTTAAAACATGTTCAAAAGTATACCTTTTGTATTTCTTAGCTTCCACGTTTGATCATGCTCCGCGCTGACTACATCGTACAGTAAAAAAATCTTGTATATACATTCCACACACATCTTTATAGAAGTTCATTTCACTGACTTCCACACACCCAGTTCAACCAATAATTTAATAGAACTATCGCAAGTTTTTTTTTTGAATTTATGTATGGCACTTTTCATTAATGAGCTTATTTCTTCCTGAATTAAAGACTGAACATTTCTATAAAGCTATTTGCATCATTAAAGACGGAAGTAATGTTTAATATTTCAATTTGTATATTTTAATGAGTCATGTATACATTAAACACGTGGTCAACGACTGTTTCATGATGTAGCTTTTATTAGATCGCATACAATTATCGTACCGTCTTTGATTAGTAAAATTTTTTGGTGCGGATTTTTTAGTTCTAAGATTTTTGCCATTCAAATGGATCCAAGCCACAACTTCTCAGAAAGTCTGGTCGAAAACTCAAGCTTTTCAGAAGGTAACCTTAAAAACACTAGTTTCTTTAATTCTCCGAACTATTTTCACCTCGACAGATGCTTTCATCTTTGATTTTTCAATCTCAATGTTTTCGCATTTAAAGGAAAAGATACTGACATTAACTTTTCCATTCACAAGAATTGAAAAGCATTTAGCAGTGGAAAAATCAAAAAGCGAGCTGACGCAATTTCTAAAGTTAACGAGAGTAAATTAAGTGTGAAAACAAGGTGTTGATAACTTTTATGAGGAACATTCATTCTAAACGTCCCTCAACGTACTTTGAACTAAATATCTCTCATTCGTGGGTTTGGGAGCAGGGGAATACGCTGCTAATACAAATAAACTGAAACAAAGGCAAACATGTTGTTATATTATTATGTTATTATTTAGTAAATAAATATAAAATTCAGTTCACTTAACGGGCAAACCTGTGTAGGTATTTCAAATCTTGTCTAATAGCTACATTTTTTTGATGTGCGTATAATTAGAAAATTAAATTGCTTTTTGATACATAGATTTATTCCTTTCTAAATAGTCTACTTTACTTTTTAATTGAAGAATTGCTGTCTCAACCATGGAAATGTTATGATAAATCAATAATGCACCAGCAAAAGTTCAGAATGATGGAAGAATATGGGCAGAAAAGTCCAAGAAAAGTTAAACTTGTGAATGGTGTAAAGGTTATTTGTTCTGAGGAGTTTTTGCTTGGTATGGGAAGTGATGGAACTCGTGTTTACCTTGGACTCGGAAAAGATGGTTACGGAAAAGCAGTAAAACGATTGCTTCGAGATAACTTCGTGTTTGAATGAGTTGAATGCCAAGCGTTCAAATTATGTTGTGAATTATTGGTATCTTGAAGAAAAACCAAGCACAGATTATTTGTATTTGATATTATATTTGTGTGAAGAATCGTTAGAAAGTTTTGTGAAATTTTTTACTTTTCAAGATCTTCAAAAAGCATTTCCTACAATTCTTATGCAGATTTTAAAAGGTTTAGCTGATCTTCACAGCGGTGAGCGTCAAATTCTTCATCGGGATTTAAGACCATCAAACGTTCTTCGAGATGTACAAGGAAATTTTTTAATCGCTGACTTTGGTATAAGTCATATGTTATCTGATGAAACTTCGACACATCGGAGCATACAAAGAGGAGCTAAAAATTGGATAGCTCCAGAGTCATATAACGCATCAGATGATACAATCAAAAAAGTTCGTTACAAAATGACATTATGGTAAGTTGTTGAAGTAGAACTAGAGGTCCAACTACAGCTCAATGCTTTATTTGCATTTAATTAGATATTGGTATTTGGTAGGGATAATGATTTTAAGTAAAATTTTTCTTTACCTCCATTGTACAGTCATATAGTGGCGAAATACAAATTGCACTGTATAAAATATAAAAATATGTATATGTATGATAATGAATTTATTGTTGTAATTGCCTTATTGGTTTTACGATTGTATGTCTCTCATTTAAATTGTTCTAAAAAATTGATGGCTACGACTCTTAATTGGAGAACTTTTTGCTGATTTTTTTTGTATTTGAAATTTTGTATTTTTTGCAACTAACATATAAGTAAACTCCATTTTTTATTGAAAATAGAATGCCGGAATGGTGGCTTATTATGTTGAAACAAAGGGGAAACATCCTTTTGGACCTGAACGGCAAAGACTAGACAACTTATTAAACGGAAACCCAGTTGGCTTGGACGAAATCAAGGATGCCACGTTCAAAGACCTTTTATCGTGGATGCTACAGCTAAAACCTGAAGACAGGCCATTAGCCAACGAAGCATTGAAACATCCTTTTCTTAGGTCGGATGACGAAAAATTTGAAATGTTATGTAAAGTTGGAAACCAACGACCGATTAAAATAAATGATATCAATTCAAGTGTCGTTCAATAATTGAATAGCGAACCCTCCGATTGGAAAAGTCGAATACATCATGATGCCTATAATTATTTTTGTACTGATAAGGTGAGTGGAAAGATTGTTATGCATAGACCTTCATGGACAGATTGCTTAAGATTTATTCGAAATGTTGGCCTGCATTGGTATGATAAACCACGGCCAACACCACAACCTGAACCACTTGAAAAGATTGGCGATCCAAAGGAGTACTTTCTTGAAACATTTCCAAATCTTCCTGTTCTGGTGCATGCGGCTGTCAGATCAAATAATGAATGGAAAAACAAACCAGAACTCAAAACCTTTTTCAATTGAAACAACACAAATCAATATATAAACATTTTACACACCGCAAATTATGTTTGAGGAATGTTTTTATAGATGTAAAAATCATTTGTAATAAACTCTCTCTAGATTTTGGCATGGTTATAATTTTAGTAATTAGACTTAAAGGTGAATGAGTATAACAGTTAAAATCGACATTGCTCTTCACCGATATGATTGACCAAGGACAAGACCACTACAAGAACTATTTTATAAGATTGGCAAGCCAAAGGAGTCTTTTTTCTCAGGTCAAATGACAAATTGAAACAAAGGAAAACATGAACTTGATGATGATGTAATTGAGGAAATAACGAAGAAATATTACAACTATTTTCTCTAAACTCTTTTCTATTTCTAAGTTGTAAACATTGCAAATTGATGTCTTCACACCAATTGTGAGAAAGACTTTTCAAATAAAAGGGCATCACACGTTGTCATGGCTAAAAAAATCAAAACATTTCTTTTCTACCATTGTTTGTAGTGGACTACAATCGAGCGGTTGATTTTAAGGAAAAACATGAGAAATATATGTTTATGTAGGACGCTAAATTTTCCCCAATAAATTGCTTGCACGTGGAAATAGGGGTTTTACCCCCCGTGAGATGCCGCTTCGTAGATAAAGTTTACAATTAACGAACATGTCTTCCCGTAAGGAAACAGCTAAAACACGTCACAAAGCATGATGTCACATCATAAACTACTGTCTTATATGACCACATATCTGTTAAATTAGTACTATATTTTTATGATGTAACAACTGACAATTTTAATTTTTTTGCTCATTTGCTTTACATTTAAGATCAAAGGCTTGAGTACGCAAATTATTCTGGATCAAATTTCTCCCTTCTAATAAACCCTAAATAGCACACCAACTTTCTTACAAATCTATTTCTTGAAGTGATCTTTTGAAATTTTTGAATAAAATTATATTCATGTATGACAAAAAGCAAAACAAGCCATTCCATTGTAATTTTGATATTCCTGTTTAGACGTAGGCAGAAACGACAAGGAAAAACCGTTTTTAGTCATATTTTTACTCCTAAGCCTTCAATAAGCAACTGAGAAGAAGTTTTGAGTTTCCTGTGTATTGCAACATGTACAAATTGTCCGATATTGCAGTAAAATTCTGATTCTGCTTTCATAATCCTGAATACAGAACACAATGGTGGCTAAAACTTCTGGATCATGTTTCCAAGGTTTTTAATGATCATGAATATCTAATGATCAGAAAGCAATTTATTAAGCCTTGCAGAGCATTTTCTTGTCAGTCTTTTACCATTACGTGTACGTTTATGTGGCCTCGGGAGGAGTTAACTTAAGTTTATATTGGTTTAGATTTAGACATAGGAACGTTAACTATTTTTAAAAGGAAGCACCACTACCCTGAATCCCGATGTAAATATGAAATAATTTTTTATATTTTTGCCACTTCGTAAGATAAATATACGCACATTTTATATTCCTACTTTTTTATACGTTTTATTATAAGCGGTTTAACAATGATTTATAGTTTGTTCAACATCAACCATTCAGGGTTGAGCGTAATTATCAATCACGTGACATGATTCATACTAACACCAAACTGTGCACTAAACACATACAAAATGAAAATGACATGAAAATCGTGACGTTAACAATTGGCATCAAAATTTTACACAAAGTTTAGATGTCAGATATTACCATTGGTCATAGGATCTCTTTCTTGTATTTCAAGGATGTATGTTGGGAAAAAAATTGAAGAAGTGTTAGGATGCTCTGTGATTATTTCCTTGAAACTCAAGATAAGGTTGGTGGATTTTTGTGCAAATTGCGAAGAAATTTTGGTGATTTACTTATTAAGAACTTGAAACTTGTGTGTCTAACAAGAAATATGCCTTTTGCTTAAATCTAAAATTTGCTTTACTTTCAGGTCAATACACTTGAAGACATTCCTCCTCCTGTAATTGCAACAGGATTTAGTTATTATCTCACCAGTATATACATTATCTCGTTTTTGTTGCTGTTGAGGAAAATGAAGGTTTGTGTCTTTATTGAGTTCTGATTAATTAATATTGTATGAATGTTTCTTATGAACCAACTGCATGCTTCTTTGAACAAGATTGACTGCCAGTTTTGATTGAATTTGCAAAGAAGTTTTATCACTAACAAAAGGCATACCTTGGGCATTCTTAGCTAAAGATCAAAATAATTTCGCCATCTTATCATCTGCATATGGTGAGCACTTTCATGATTATTAATTATGATGAAGTGAAAATGTTTTATTCTACTTCCAACCTTGTTAGTGATTAAATTTCTTCTTCTGTAAATTTTTGTACATCTCTTTTTGTCTTTTATAAGATTCCCATTTGAAAGAATGATTGTTGATTATTTCTAACTTGCTTGTAACATTTGATGGCATTTTTTAAAGGTGTACAAATGAACTGATGTATGAATATAGAATAGTATGGTTATATACAATGTGTTATTAACAATGTGCTCTCCCAGCTATCACCACAGTACAATTGTGACTCCTGCACTTGGGATGTATACGTGTATAATCATACATCATGGTAGAGTTGGATTTTGGATTGCGGATAGCCTTACAAAAGTTAAAGTGTTTATTTTGTTTCAAGCAAGTTTTACTTTGTGCTTTTGAAAACTGTCACCAAGATAGATTTGTATTTGTTTACTTATTACCATTAAAGGTTACAGCATGTTTGGTGTAGCCAGCCTGGCAGTTTGGTCAGTTTAGCATTGTTTCTGTTTATAGAAATCTGTTGTTTTTACTGCACAATCAAACTGTCAATCCTTTTATGCCACTGAGCCAATTTCTATTTATTACATATTATAATCACTGACATGCTCTATACAGTAAAGCTAAATAGAAATTAAGATTTTATTTTTGTGCTGTTTAGTGTGACTTGGCCATGTGGACCATGTGGAGTTGCTGACTCAAACAAGAAGATCACGTTCTTAAATGTGCATGTCTCTGAAATGTATTTTAGCTTTAAGTTTGAAAACATTTACACTGCACAACCAAGCTTTCAGTCTGGCTCAATTCCTGAGCAAGTTTCTATTCATCCCAGATTATAATCACTGACGTGCTACAGGCAATAAGATTAAATGAAAAAACGATTTTACTTTTGTGCTTTTTTTTAGTGTTACTTGGCTATGTGGACCTTATGAAGCTACTGGTTCACACATGACACACAAGAAGACACTGTTGTTTAATGTGTATGTTACTGAAATCTTTTTTTAAATACATACGCATATAACATTTCATTGAGAAATTTTGAGAATTATCCAATCACTACCCTTCTCTTCTTAAAGAACACGTAGTATGTGTTTCATTTCTTTTGAAATTCTTGCATTTTTAAAAGAACATTTTTGTATGAAGACATGCGAAACAAAGTATAACGATTGATGGTTCCAATCTGAAAGAGAACGGTATTGAAGTAAGTGTTTTCGGAATACTCATTACAGACAGGGGAATTATCTGTAAGTTTTCCAGACTTAGCTGTATTGTGTTCTTCACATGATAAAAGACTGCCACGTTTATAATAAACTGGGATTTGTGAATTCTTTCAGTACGTACGTATAACAAGAAAAAATTATATTGCGTCACACGTTAAATTTAACTGTCAAGACTTTGTTGATGTTATTTATTTCTCTTTATCAAAATTGTCAGATTTTGTTGTTATAAGGAAAGATTTTCTGCATATCATTAAACAAAATATTTGAGTGATGCAGACTGTTAAAACTAAAACAATTCCATTGAATTGTAATGTTTTTTGCTTCGTTTTTCTGCCAAGAAGTAAAATTACAGACGTATGGGATCTTGACTTTTATCATTTCAGAAACTTTCACAAGGTGTATTATACCTTAACTCTTCTTCATTACAAAATGTTATTAACTATGTACATCGCAGAAGAAGACACTGTTCTAATCATTTGTATGAAAAATTTACTTCGTCTTCGATTGTTTGACAACTGCAAATTTTTAAACGATTAAACAGAAATTGTCTGGATTCATCAGCATTTGATTTAATACAGTGCATCTAGTTTGACGTTTGCATGTCAATGATCACTTACGATGAAGAATAAGTTTAACTCTAATACGTGTGATAAAAATCAATGCCCAACATAAAGTTCTGATTAGAACCATAGAAATAGACCAAAAAAAAAAAACAAATTGTGAAATTTAAATTTATTGTGACGTTTCGTCTTTACTCAAGACATCTTCAGACAAATAATAAATAGGACGTTAAGACAAGGTATTATATTTACAAAAAGGTGTTAAATTACTACTAAAGGAAGCGGTGTCGAATGGATACATGATAAGGAAGTTTGGAAGTGAAATGAAGAGAAATTAAAAGAGGTTAAGTGGAATGGAGTTTCCTTGCACATTAAGTGAAGGCTTGTGTTTATTGATTAGAAGGCTTTCATGGATGGAGAGTTCATAAGTATCGTTGGAAGAGGAGATTATTTTAAAGTCGTCTAAGTTGGGGGTGTGTCCAGTTGCGTTAATGTGAGCAAGAATGCATGATGATGCAGGGTGGGAAACTTGGTTGCCTGTAAGGGGGGATATTCCCAAGTGCTCCGAAAATCTGGTGTGTAGATGACGTGTGGTTTGACCCACATACGAAGCGTTGCAGCTTCGACACTTGAATAAATAGACTACACCAGATCTCAGAGGTTTGGGAATTTTGTCCTTAAAGGGGAAGAAAGAAGAGATACGTTGAGAAGGGCGGAAAACAAATTTAATGGATATATGTGGGAAGGCTGCAGCACAAAGGTTATTGATTTGTGTGCGAATTTGAAGGGAGTGTATGCCGGTGAAAGGAAGACAGAAATAGATGGGCATTTTGTGAGCAGTCAAGACAGGTGGTTTAGGGGCAAAGGTGTTGTTAAGGAAGCGACGTGTGATTTGGTCAATTATACGTGAAGGAAAACCGTTTTTTGGTGAGTGACTTTCTGGTAAATTCGAGTTGTGTATGAAAATTTTCGTAAGTAGAGCAAAGATTGAAGATGCGGTGAAGTAAGCAGGAGACTAATGAAAGTTTGTAAGTAAGTGGGATGAAGCTGTGGAAGTTGGTGAAGAGGCCAGTGAAAGTAGGTTTGCGGTAGACGGAAGTGGTGAATTTTCCATTAGTACGAGAGATATCAATGTCAAGAAATGAGAGCTTGTTTTGTTCGACTTCAGATGTGAATGTGATGTTAGGGTGTTGTCGGTTCAGGTAGTCAAGAAAGAGAGGGACGTGATCGGAGGAATGAAAAAGTAAAAAACAGTCGTCAACGTAGCGTCGGTAAAGTAGTGGTTTGAATGAAGAAGGACAATTATTGAGCCAGGATTTTTCGTGAAAGGACATGAATATATCAGCAAAGAGAGGGCCCAATGGACTGCCCATAGCCACACCATCAATTTGCTGATACATTTTCCCGTTAAAGATAAAGTGACAGTTCTTAACAGCTAGAGAGAGTAGTTTTTCAAATTCTGTTGCAGTGAGTCCGTTGAAGTACTGGTGGTTGTTAAAAATGCTTTTGGATATTATGTGGATGGTTTCGTCAACAGGTATGTTAGTAAATAGGGATACGACATCAAAACTAGCAAGGACAACATTACTGGAGTTGATATCGCAGTTTAGGATTTCTTCAACAAACGAGAAAGAGTCTTTGATGATGAGGTTGCTTATAGTGAAGGGCTTTAGGAGTGGGATGAAAAACTTTGCTAAATTATACGAATAGTGATTAATGGAGGAAAGAATGGGTCTGAGAGGGATGTTACATTTATGTATTTTAGGAAGGCCATATAATATACCTATTCGTGAACCAGTAGGGTAAAGTTCTTTGTACGTTTCTTGGCCGATAGATTTGGCATCTTTCAACTTTTTAAATAAAGATTTCACTTGATTTTCTCGTTGTAAAGTGACTTTGACTGGATCTCCATTAAGAGGTTGAAACTTTGTAGTGTCAGATAAGAGTGTGTCCATTTTCTTTGTGTAGTCGTCTTTGTTAAGTATAACGATGCCATTTCCTTTGTCAGGTTTAGTGATGAGGATAGTTCTGTCGTTTTAAATTATTTAAAATGTTCAAGTCTTCTTGTGAATATAGAAAAGGTGGTGGGCTGTAACTTCGGAAACCTGAGTGAGCAATGTCTTTTAATTTGCATTTGATCGAGTCTGGAAAAAATCCTGATGATTCATTAACAGGTTCTCGTTTGAGACGGTTGTAGAGTTTTTCAAAGGGTGTTAAGAAGGTGCAAATGTTTAACTTTTTCGGTGGGATGGAAAAGTTTAAGCCTTTTGAAAGGATTTCTTTCTCTCTGTCAGTAATGAGGCGGTTTGAGAAGTTGAACACCACTTTATCAGGGTCGATTGGGATGTTGTTGTCATGTTTGGAAGTGAGACGGAAAAGTTTGCGATCTTGGATATGTTGATGTTGCGTTGGTTTTCTTGAATTTTCACGATCGGAGACATTCTTAAGGTGTATAAAGTCAATTTTGGAGATTAGTAACGCCAGGTTGGAGTGTGCTTGTGTTAGTTGTGCTGAGAGGACGCGTATACGAGCGTGTTTCCCGTTTATTTCTTCTTGAAGAAGTTTATTTTGGCATTGGCGATAAGCGCTAGAGTTTTGTAAGCGACGACTAGCTACTTTGAACCACAGGAATCTTGGTATCACAGAGCGCTTTCTGCATGTCGTAAGAAAATCCAAGTCGAGTTTTGCTTTTCCTAGCTTGAGTTCAAGTCGTTGGAATTTTCTAAATATATTATATGGCCTTCTGTATATTATATGGCCTTCCTAAAATACATAAATGTAACATCCCTCTCAGACCCATTCTTTCCTCCATTAATCACTATTCGTATAATTTAGCAAAGTTTTTCATCCCACTCCTAAAGCCCTTCACTATAAGCAACCTCATCATCAAAGACTCTTTCTCGTTTGTTGAAGAAATCCTAAACTGCGATATCAACTCCAGTAATGTTGTCCTTGCTAGTTTTGATGTCGTATGCCTATTTACTAACATACCTGTTGACGAAACCATCCACATAATATCCAAAAGCATTTTTAACAACCACCAGTACTTCAACGGACTCACTGCAACAGAATTTGAAAAACTACTCTCTCTAGCTGTTAAGAACTGTCACTTTATCTTTAACGGGAAAATGTATCAGCAAATTGATGGTGTGGCTATGGGCAGTCCATTGGGCCCTCTCTTTGCTGATATATTCATGTCCTTTCACGAAAAATCCTGGCTCAATAATTGTCCTTCTTCATTCAAACCACTACTTTACCGACGCTACGTTGACGACTGTTTTTTACTTTTTCATTCCTCCGATCACGTCCCTCTCTTTCTTGACTACCTGAACCGACAACACCCTAACATCACATTCACATCTGAAGTCGAACAAAACAGAAAGCTCTCATTTCTTGACATTGATATCTCTCGTACTAATGGAAAATTCACCACTTCCGTCTACCGCAAACCTACTTTCACTGGCCTCTTCACCAACTTCCACAGCTTCATCCCACTTACTTACAAACTTTCATTAGTCTCCTGCTTACTTCACCGCATCTTCAACCTTTGCTCTACTTACGAAAATTTTCATACACAACTCGAATTTACCAGAAAGTCACTCACCAAAAACGGTTTTCCTTCACGTATAATTGACCAAATCACACGTCGCTTCCTTAACAACACCTTTGCCCTAAACCACCTGTCTTGACTGCTCACAAAATGCCCATCTATTTCTGTCTTCCTTTCACCGGCATACACTCCTTCAAATTCGCACACAAATCAATAACCTTTGTGCTGCAGCCTTCCCACATATATCCATTAAATTTGTTTTCCGCCCTTCTCAACGTATCTCTTCTTTCTTCCCTTTAGGACAAAATTCCCAAGCCTCTGAGATCTGGTGTAGTCTATTTATTCAAGTGTCGAAGCTGCAACGCTTCGTATGTGGGTCAAACCACGTCGTCATCTACACACCAGATTTTCAGACGCAGGGAATATCCCCTTACAGGCAACCAAGTTTCCCACCCTGCATCATCATGCATTCTTGCTCACATTAACGCAACTGGACACACCCCCAACTTAGACGACTTTAAAATAATCTCCTCTTCCAACGATACTTATGAACTCTCCATCCATGAAAGCCTTCTAATCAATAAACACAAGCCTTCACTTAATGTGCAAGGAAACTCCATTCCACTTAACCTCTTTTAATTTCTCTTCATTTCACTTCCAAACTTCCTTATCATATATCCATTCGACACC